TTTAGTCCTTGTCACCAAACTACTTCTATGATTTATTTTTTCATAAATTAATTTTGTTTTGAATTTCATGTAAAATGAGTCTATAGTGTCTTGCTTCTTTGACTCATTATTATGTGTTATACATTCTCTCTCTCTCTCTCTCTCTTTCTCTCTCTCTCTCTCTCTCTCTCTTTTTATTTTTAAAGAGAAAGGAAGGGAAAGGGAGAGAGAAACAACCATGTGAGAGTGCAACATCGATCAGCTTCCTCCTGCACATCCCCTACCCAGGACTGAGCCTGCAACCCTGATATGTGCCTTGACCTGGAATCGAACCAGCAACCTTTGTGGGCACAGGATGACGCCCAACCAACTAAGCCACACTGGCCATGGCATGTCTCATGCATTCTTTACCTGACTGTCTCTTCATCTTCTAGGACTCAGCTTCAGTCTCCTCTCCTTACAGAAGCTTTCTCTGACTACTCTGGTTAAGCACACTTCCTGCCCCATTATCCTCATGCACAACACCCTCTTTATTTCCTTCAGAGTTTTATCACAACTTGTGATTATTACTTGTTTTCCTGCTTACCGTCTATTTCACACTAGACTGTAGACTCGATAAACATAGGAAACATTTTGATCTTGTTCATCATTCTCTTCCCAGTGACCTAGAGCAGTGTCTGGCAAAAATTACAGGCATTCAATTAAAAATATTTGTTGACTTAGTGAATAAATGAATGAATGAGTGAAGAATGGATTCTGTTTTATTTCCTTGTACTGAAGTAAAAAATGTTTCGAAACTTACTAATATTTGACAAAATGCTATCGAAGGTAATTTTGGATTTCACTAGGACTTTATGAGTATCCTTTCTTGTAGGCCAGGTAGAGTAATTGCTGTAGACGACAGTATAGAATTGTATACCCAAATAAAAATTATTAAGTGTAGTAATAGCAGTTTTGAGGGAAATGTTTAGAAGTTTAACCCTGATCATCATATTTACAAAGACTTTAGTGAAGGCATTACCAGCATGACAGCTATGCTGAGAGTTTGGGGAGGCATAGCTATTGTTATCTTGGGCAACAGCCTGAATCTGAAGAGATCTGGAGGGATAGAAAGATGAGTTGAGTTTCTCTATCAAGATGAAATGTTAAAATAGTAAATGTAGAGTTTACACTGAGGTTCCAATAGTCACATTCATATTAGTATAGAGAAAGATGGCTTAGCAGTCTTTTTCAGAAATGACTGAGGGGTTCAGATGACTGAAAGTTGTACGTAAGTCTGTAGTATGATTTTGTTGCCACAGGAAGTTAATAATGTTGAGCATCAAGAGGAATAAGTTATTGAGGAAGAAGAGCATTATAGCCACGTTCTTGTTTTATTCAGTGCACCACTTGAAATGCTCCTTTTGCCCCAGATCACACCTTTGTGTTGGTTTAATAACAAATTGGATTGTCTAGACTCTAGAGCCCAGGTTTCAAAATAAAACTCTTAGGCTACCTGTTTTGTGAATAAAGTTTTATTTGAATACAGCCCTGCTCATTTTCTGTGACTGTTTTCCTGCGTTAGCGGCAGTGTTGAGTGTCTGTTACAGAGACCACACGGCCTGCAAAGCTACAATATTTATTATTTGGCCCTTTCAGCCTATAGTCTAGGAAACTACACCTTCTGATGAAGTAGAGTGAAATCATGGCAAAGAGGAGCAGCAAAGGAGCATGGGAAGTTAAGCCAGATAGAGAGATGTAGGTGTGATAGGGAAAGCTGTCTTCACATATTTGAAGGACATTGTTTTGACAAAAAATTAGACCCTTGTCTGCTTAACTTGATAAGGTTCTGAGATTCTGCCTTGGGAAGATTCTCTCAAACTCAAGCTGTGGTCCTTAAGCATTTCTCCAAGGCACTGGCTTAGTCTGCTCAGCAGATTGTGGAGCCAAAGAAGTCACAGTGGGCCTTCACTGTGGAATATCCTCCCACTTAGGTGCTTTGGTATAGAGCAAAGCAACATTCTAGTGAAAACTAAAAATATATTTTGCATGTATTACCAAACAACCTAGTCTAGTTAACACCTTTAAAATCTAATATTTTGCTTGTTTTTTTCTGCATGGGGAAGGTTTGAATCATTCTTTCTCCATTGATTCCCAAGAAGGTTTCAAATGTCTTTGTTTATACCAAGTGATAAGTGGCCTTAAAAAGTACTCAGGTGTGTAAGGCTAAATAAACAGTGTTCTGCAGGGTTACTGCTTGCTGTCTTTTGTAATTTTACCTTAATCTTTCTTGCTATACTTGCTCATCAGCTAATCATTAAATGTAAAAAACCCATTTAGGCAAACTGAACTCTTGTATTTAGTTTTTATATTCTTTCCATACTTCTAACTGGTTTCTTGAAGTAGAGATTTAGTGTTAAAATGTCAGAATTTAAAGGAGGAGCTTTGCAAATCAAAATACCATCAATTAAGAACCTTCTTTTAGAACTAAGTCAAATTCTGGGAAGCTGCTGAATGAAACTCATTCAGCAAACATTTGAATTAAGAGCATTGTACCGTGGGTGTCAAATTAGCTATTTGTGTGATTAGCTATTCTTCTGATTTGGACTTCTTACAACTTTTGTATTTTGCAGTAGATGGTGGACTTGAAATGTGGGGTTTTCCAGTTTGTCTGTCCTGCCGGCTACATCATGTGTGTGTGTCTGGGTGCAGACTTTTGTGAAGTGGAGGAGGACAGGACTTTCTCACCTTGTCATCAGTAGCCCTTACCAGGGGCCACCTTTTTTCTGCCAAGGGTCACTTGGGTATTTATAACATCATTCATTTACTGGCCGTACAAAATTTACTTAAAAATTAGCCTACTATATTTGGTCAAACATTTATCTTAGTAGTTTTTTTTTTTTTTTTTTTTTTTTTTTTAACAACTGCATGCTAATTTTAATGGGAAATGCTGCTTAATTTTTTTAAAAAAATATATATTTTTATTGATTTTTTACAGAGAGGAAGGGAGAGAGATAGAGAGCTAGAAACGTCGATGAGAGAGAAACATCAACCAGCTGCCTCTTGCACACCCTCTACCGGGGATGTGCCCGCAACCAACATACATGCCCCCGAAATCGAACCTGGGACCTTTTAGTCCGCAGTCCACTGAGCCAAACCAGTTTCGGCTGTTTGGTCAAACATTTAATTAACTCACCCCTAATGTCTTGACAGGGTCTTATTTGGCCCGAGGACTGGGTGTTCCCCACCTCTACCTTGGGGATTCATATTGGTTCCATGTCCTCAGGTCTGAAGACTTGAATTCAGGCATGATGTCAGTTGGGAACTCCGTCATTCTGCGGACGTTCAGGTGTAGTGTTATCTATTACGTGGAAAAGCCTCTTTGACTGTAGAGAACCATGCAAGTGAAAGTTGATTTTGATTAGAACAGGATAATACTGGGTTAAGTAGGCTCCTGCTGAGAGTCTGAATGCAACAGTGTAGCTTCTAAATCAGCCAGCAGTGGCAAACTATGCTCTCTATCGCCATTTTCCTCCCACTATTTACCTCAGATCTTTTGTCCACATTGTCCCATGTCAATCAGAATGGGATAGAGAAGTGGAGGCACTCGACATGGAGTCTGTTGAGTAAACATTTGATTCCCTTTGCTTGCAGTGAAAAATTTTAAAATATTTCTATTTACTTTTTCCATCATTCTTTTAAGTCTTGAAACACTGATGAAATATTTCCTGCATATTCATAATAATTTCAGGAAGACATTTTGACCTTTAATTATGATTTTTTAAAAATTAGACACTCTAGTTGAAACCAGACAGTCAGTGGGCCCAGGCTGCCTGTCACTCCTTGAGCCAAGTAAGCAGAGTCAGGGTTGAATCATATATGAGCATTTATTCCAATATTGCTGGCAGTATAGGAGAGCAGCAGGTCTTCTATGAAAATCTGCTCTGCACCCCCCATAAGCCAGCTGCTTATATTGGGGTACACAAAGGTTACATGGGGAAGTGGGCAGAAGGAGTAAGAATAGGCATGCGATATGGGTGTTACTAGCATGGGGAGGCAGGCAATGCCAGCTGGGGTGAGACTCCATTGTTTGGGCAACCAAGTTGTTCATCTTTCCATGATAAATGAGAATAGACTGCATTTCAAGATTGACCCTCAGGTCTCTGGAGAGTATACAACTCCTAGCGAGGTTAGAATGTGCTTTCTTAAATTAGAACAAAACAATCAAGGTTAACAGAACATGATTAATATGTCTTAGTACTATAGCTACTCCCCAACATTCTATTTCTGCACCTAAGAAAATGGTTACTAATTACTTTATATACATACTAAGCATAAGTACAAAACACGGGCAAACGTTTTTCAAACATGTGACTAGTATAGCGTTGTTTAAATGTTGGCTGGATGGATGCTATGATAAGTAACTTGCACAAGGGAACACAGATAGTAAGTACACTAGTAATGGTATCAAATGGTAAAACAACTGGATTCCTCTAATTCAAGGGATGAAGGAGGTTGAGTGAGAAGGGGCATGAGCATGTTTGAATGCACACAGTGTGCATATTACTGATCTTGATTCTGTGGCAGGTGTCTTCAAACTACGGCCTGCGGGCCACATGCGGCCCGCAGAGGAGTCTGATCCGGCCCGCCAGGTTTTTTGGGCAGTGGGCGCAGCCGAGGTGTTACAGTAGGAATTAGTAGTTCATATAGTCCAGCCCTCCAGCTCTCTGAGGGACCGTGATCTGGCCTCCACTTTAAAAAGTTTGAGGACCCCTATAGTGAGTGAGAGCACATAAGCAGACAGATTTTTCTATTGAAACATGATACTATTGTAAAGGCTGAATTAAAAAAAATATTTGGCTGTGCTTGACAGTTTTGGCCTCATTTATATTGTTCCTCCAGTTTTATTATTCAGATGATGACATCGTGTAAATAGACATGTTCTCCAAGTTACTTTTGTACTGTTATTTTCAGTTAAGACATTATTCTGTTTGCAAGCATGTAAAGATTAACTCTGAATATTTTCTTACATTTCTCAACAGTACAGTGCTGTCGATACCAACCCACTCTCTCTGTATGTCATGCATCCATTTTGGAACACTATAGTAAAGGTAAGATGATTAATAGGCATGCGTTTGTTTTAGTAATTTTAAAATTTTAAACTGTTTAGTACGTTTTATAGATATCTTATTAAAACTGTCAGTTTAACAAGATATCTAGAGAAACTCCTCCTCCTATCTCCTTTCCCTTAGTCACATACCTTTTGATTTATCTCATTGTTGAAATCTCAGTTTATACTCTGGAGTTCATAGTTTTGTAAAATTTTCTAAAATAAATGTAATGTTCATTAAATATAGAATTGTTTAAAACAGAATAGAAAGAAGAAAGAAGTGCTTTCTTCTGTCAATTGCAGATTGTGGTTTGCATTTTATTATAAATAACTCCTGCATATGATCTTTTAAAAAATGTTTTTATTGATTTTAGAGAGAGAGGGAGAAAGAGAAACACCAATGTGAGAAACAGCAATTGGTCTTTTAAATTATAGCTTTATTATAGTTTAAATTTGCATGTTGTGCTGTGTGTGGACAGAGATATTCCTCTAGTTTAATTATATTTTAATTATTTTGAAAAAAATAGGTATTTCCTACTTGGCTGGCTCCAAATCTGATAACTTTTTCTGGCTTTCTGCTGGTTGTATTCAATTTCCTACTTCTGTCATACTTTGATCCTGACTTTTATGCTTCAGGTAAGATTATTACTTTTAATATAACATTTGAAATGTCTAAATAGAGAAATGATATTATTTTCTGTTTTTATTAAGATGCTATATTTTGAAAAGTGTTAGATGTAATAAGGATAAAATGTCAAAGTTGGGTATAAAAGCTAAGATGTGTTTTCACATCAGAATTTAAAGGAGTTTGGGGAGGAACATGTGTGTTCCTATTAAGTTCTAGAAACTAACTTGCCTATTTAATTTAGAAATGCTGTACAAAAGCATAAGACTTTAGTAAATATAGAGTGACGATTTCTCAGAAGATACAGGAGTAGGACTACAAAACTACCTGAAAATGAATCTAACTAGAGTCCAACCTACCGACCAATTTCAGAAATACCTCTTCCTTTGTTTTAGTTATGGGAGAAAAATCCCATTTTCTAAAGGGAATGTAATGTTGCTTTCTCTCTGATCAGCATACTTATTTCTTACAATTTCCAGTTTCCTCTAAAAATGATTCTTAGACCTTTAAGTAATTATTGACAGAGTCTGGATCCTTATCGGGGAAGACAGGCAAAAGTCACTTTTGGAGAGGCAGTTTTCAGCCTGCTCCGACCTGGGATTCCAGTGTCTTCTCTCACACCCATTCCTGTCTTTGCTGACTTCCACACCCAGCTTCTGCTCTGGCAATAGCAGTGAGTCTGGGTGCATTTGGGATGGGGGTGGATACTGCGAGACAGGATCTATTTTTATCATTCATCCAGTTGATGAAGTTGCGAGAAATAGAAAGATGAAGGTAGATAAGTATTTTTTTCATTCTAAGTTAGAGAATATATTTTCCAATAATAATACTTATAAATGATGTACAATAGTTAGGAGTTTTTGTATTATAATTCATCTGTGTTCTAGGTTCAGCAGACTTGTGGACTAACCTGAAAAAATTAACAATCACTGAAAACGTTTTTGTAGGAAAGTTTGGAGTTTGAAACACTTAGGAGTTTTGCTATTATGGAAATTCTGTATATTTTAACCACTGAAACTTTTAGCCATAGCTTCTGTACATGTAATAAAGTGGTAATGGAAGATTATATACAAAGTACTATATGAATAACAAGAAAGATTAAATTTCATTAAGTCTGGTTTTGATAATGAATTTTTTCAAATTTGCATTTTAATCCTCAGGACAATCTCAGAAGTTTACTTTCTAACTAGAAATATTATTTTCTTGAATTAAATAAGAATATTTACTTAGTTATTAAGAGAACTAAAAACATGTAAATATTACATATATTTTCCCGAATCATATAAGTTGAAGGACCAGATCAACCATTTAGTCCCAATTTGAGACATGGAAGACAGGAGAGATTCAATGACATATTTAGGTCACAATGCTCATTGGTTACAAAGCCAGGACTTGTACCCAGGCCTCCTAATTCTAAGTGATTCTATCTTCGGGGGTAAAAGTGAGGTCCAGACATTTCATTATGATTCCAATGCCAGAATCATCCACTTGAGGTCTTCTATCTGTATCAAATCAAAAGGTCTTTTTTTAGCTAATTAGTGCAGTAAGAGAGTATAAGTTGAAGGCTTAATACATAGTTGTAATATAATTATAAACAGTGTGGATCAGATTAAACACTAGCATTTTTAAATTCTAAAAAAACATTATTTTTCATTCTACATAGGATTTTTAAGTAAGATTGAATAGTCAATCATGAGTTGTGATTTAAGCTAAAAATAAATGCCTATTATTTATGAAGGGTTGTACAGTATTTTATTTCTTTTTTCCAGAATCTACTGATATTTTTTAATATTTACCTAGTTCTGTATTCAAAATATATTGTACAGTATTGTAGCTTCTGTTTAATAAGTAGGAACTTCTACTTATGTGGCAGTAATACTGTGGTAGGAATGGTGGTACTTAGACTGTATTACACTCTGAGTTGCTTTCCTTTGCAGCACCAGGTCATAAACACGTTCCTGGCTGGGTTTGGATTGTGGTGGGCATCCTCAACTTTGTTGCCTACACTCTAGGTAAGAAATTGGCAAATACCCACCTTAGTCGGTGGATGGTGAATCTGTCAGCAAAGATAGTCAACCACTGAGTGAACATTTTCTTCTATACTTACTTCATTTTAACTAGGGTTTATCAATATCCTGTTCAATTTAATAAATATGTTTTTTGAGTTTCTTTGCGGAAAAAAAAAAAATTGTTACTCATTGCTAGGGATTTAAAGGATAAGATAGGAGTTGGCAAGCTATCACTTGTGGGCCAAACTGGCCTGTTGCTGGTTTTTTAAGTACATTCTATTAGAACACAGCTGTGCTCATTCCTTTACATATTGTCTGTAGCTGCATTCCTGCAACCAGGGCAGAGTATAGTTGCCAACAGAGATTGTATGGCCTAGAATGTCTAAACTATGTCCTATCTGGCTCTTTACAAAAATATTTGCCAGCTTACAGATCAAGAGATTATTTTTGCCTTAAGTGCTGACATGCGAGAACAGGTAGGCAAGTGAGTGGTCGATTCTTATTTGGGGGAAGGAGTAGTCAGGGACATCTGCTGTCCTAGGCCGTACTGTCTGTTCTGCCAAGAATGCTTTTCATTGGATTATCTGAATGGCTGGTCCTGAATTCTCTTAATATCCTTTCCTGCTTTATTTTTTTTTATTTTTTTATTTTTATTTTTATTTTTTAAATATATTTTATTGATTTTTTACAGAGAGGAAGGGAGAGAGATAGAGAGCCAGAAACGTCGATGAGAGAGAAACATCGACCAGCCGCCTCCTGCACACCCCCGACCGGGGATGTGCCCGCAACCAACATACATGCTCTTGACCGGAATCGAACCCGGGACCTTCCAGTCTGCAGACCGACGCTCTACCACTGAGCCAAACTGGTTTCAGCTCCTGCTTTATTTTCTCCATAGCATTTAAAATCATATAACCTTGGAGCCATTTCCTTGCCTATTTGTTGTCTGTCTGCTCCAAAATGTTTCTTGAGGGTGGTACTTTGTTTTCACTGCTGTGTACCGAGAGTTTAGAACACAGTAGGCACTCAGTATATAGTTTTTAAATGCTTGTGAAGTAGAAGACCCTGACTTCAAGTTGCTTAGACCTCTTCAGATAAAAATGATTTACACATAAAACCAGTATAATCTGGTACCTAGTTATGGTGGATGACCAGAGCTGCCAGAGTTTGGGGGAAGGAGAAAGTGAAGTCTAGAAGAATTAAACAAAACAAAACAAAAAACTTAGTTACATATTTAGGTAGAGGGTTCTGGACATCAAGTTACTAAAGATGAGAAGGTTTTAAAATTCTGCTATTTGGTGGCCCAGTTAGAGGAATTAGCCTAATTCTAGGGGAAAGGTGAAGCTAGCCTGTGGCCTCTAACCCTCTAACTTCTAACATTTCGCATTTCATAAAGAACATTGTGATGTACAGTATAATCTCCCTGTTTCAGGTTCACAGTTCTGGCAGAAATCCTGACCTAATCCTGACCTACGATTTGTTGCAAAATGTATCTTGAACTAACCTGAGGCAATTTATAGTTTTTATTCCTACCAGTGGGACTGCTTTTACATTTTGCTGCAGAAATATTAATGTGTTTGATCACAGCATGCTGCTCTAGGTCCTACTGGGATGGTGGATAATATATAGCATATTCCCTGAATTACCTTTCTTAAAAAAAAACCCCCACTCTGAAGCATATCGAGACCTCAGACTTATGGAGCTAGAATGGGTTCAGTGAGAAGATGCACAAAACCTAATGAATATGTAATTCATGAATTCAGTATTTATTATAACCATAGGAGTTGCATTAAAAAAAGGAAAATAAGCCAGCAAATAATGAGAAAAGTCTTAGGAAATATTTTAGCTACTTAAGGGCATTAAGACCTTATATAAGAGAGATCTGCAATCTTTGGGCAGGAGTTTGGCATTCATCCTTAATATATTCATTCCTTCAGTGTTTTTGAAAGCCTTCTTTGTCACAAACTGAGCTAGGCCCTGGGGTAATACTGTGGTGAACAAGAAACACAATATAGCAATTATAAGGAATTTCTAATTCCCTAAATATGAATCTTTACAATTAGCCTAATTTTCTAATGCACTTAGTTATCAAAACTGTTTCTTTTGAGAATTTTTATAATTCAGAATTTTCTTTTTTAACTAGATTTTACCATCCTCCCTCCCTCTCCCCCCTCCCGCCCCCTCTTTCTGCTTCCTCCTTCCTTTCCTTTCCCCCTTCCAAGTCCCTCTTCATTTCCTCCCCTCAAGGTTCCTCTGTTTCTGCCCTTAAATGAAGGTGCTCTATTATACTTTATCCTTAACTTTCTCTTTCTTCTGATATTCTTGGTAATCCTGATTTTTAACACTATTGAGATGACTCTTTTGTTTATAGCTAGCTGTTGTTTATCTTGAGTTACTAATAAGTACCCTTAGGTTGAATTGCTTGACATTACCGTGTGGATATCCTGCTAACACTTCAATTTCAGCCTCTGAAATTGTACTCAGCATCTTTTCTATCATTCTTGTTCCTTCTACTGACTTCCTTGTTTCAATGAACACTACCACTGCAGTGTTACTCAGACTGGAAACGTTGGGCGTGGTCTTCTTGTCCTTTGGCCTCACCTGTCATTTTTTGCTGCCTTGTCATTTTTATTTAATATCTCACTAGTCCCCAGCTTTTCATTCATACCGCATTTCATCTCAGTGTTAGCTTACTAATTGTTTCTCTTCCAGCTTGTCATTCACACTGATGTCCGGGGAATCTCCCGGAAACACTGCATTGACTTCATCCTTGTCACTCCTCTACTCAGATACTTTTAGTAGCTCTTCATACTCCCTAAAACTGTTAAATTGGCCCAAACCTCCCTTTTAGCCTCTGTGTACTGCCCTCTTCACATAGGACTTTCTAGTCAAACTAATCTACTTGGCTTTCTCTGAACAGGCATGTGCTTTTCCATTTCGGTGTTTTTGCTGATAGCACTCCCTCCTCTTGAAATGGCATACTCCTTTATCTCTTGTCTACTGAAATCCAACTCATTCTTTATGTCCCCACTCAGATTTCATCTTGTCTTCAAAGCTATTCTAGAGGTCTTAGCCTGAAGAAAACCTGTCTCTTTTCTGTAGGTTCTATGGTGTGATACACTATGTCTTTCATGACAAGCTTTTTCTCCTTTCTCAATGTTAAACATAAACTTAGTTTATTCTAAGATTCTTGTAATCTTTACAAAATTGAGAATAGTGCAATGCATAGGTTCTATACATTCTTACATGTGCCGTGCCAGCACAGCCAAGGGTGAACCTGGGGAAGGGGCAGTGAAGGATTAAAGAAGACAGACAAAGAGAATATAGCTGGGGCTCGGTGGCTCTCCTGGTGCCTGGATGAGGACACAGAAAAGGATCCAGCTGGCAAGCTGAGGCTTATTTTATAGTCAGAGAAAAACAAGGTAGTGGCCACTAATAGTTACAGTGTTCTTGTGAGTTTCACTTGCTGCCTCTCCCACAGCCCATTAGCTATGTAGGAAGGATCTAGGGAGCAGCCATAAGGTCAAGCTTAATTATGCTAAGAGGGCTCTGCCCTCTAAGCTGGGACTTGTTTGTAGCTCTGCCACAGGTCAATCTGAGGCTTAACCCTATAGCCACTCCCTATACTTATATTTACTGAAACTTAGTATATGCAAACCTTTTTTTCTGAAAGCACTTAAAATTGTGGAGGTGGTAGAGCTGAAAGAAGTGACTGTGATATCAAACAAGATGAAATAGGTACTAAGTACAGAATGTTTTTGGGTCCCAGAGCAAGGAGTGGTTAGATGAGTTATAATGAGTAACTGCTGAATGTTCTCTGGAGGCTTGAGAATTTGTGGCTAGTGGAGCAATTCGTTTGTTAGGCAGATTAGGAGAACTTCAGAGTCCAACTAGAATGCTTCCTCCTCAGAACTAAAACTGACACCATTCAATGTGATATAACATTTTAATTTTAATATTTCTTTATTAAAAGTCCTTATTGTTGCCGAAACAGGTTTGGCTCAGTGGATAGAGCGTCGGCCGCAGATTGAAAGGTCCCGGGTTCGATTCCGGTCAAGGGCACATACCTTGGTTGCAGGCACATCCCCACTGGGGGGTGCAAGAGGCAGCTGGTTGATGTTTCTCTCTCATCGATGTTTCTAACTCTCTATCCCTCTCAATTCCTCTCTGTGTAAAAAATCAATAAAATATATATTTTTAAAAAAATCCTTATTGTTGAAAGTATTTCATATGTCCTCCTCCTCCCCCATTGACTGCTCTCGGCCTGCCTTCCCTCTCCCCCGCCAGGCCTTCACCACTCTGTTGTCTGGGTCCCTAGATTATGCATATATGTATACAAATTGATTGGTTGATTTCTTCCCACCCACTCATCCTCCCCTGCTTTTCCTCTGAGGTTTGATTAAACTTAGAGAAATTACCAATTTTATTTCTGAAATCTTTGAGTTATAGGAATTAAAGGTTAGATTTTTATAGTACTGGTTGGTAGCTGTACGTTAGTTAATTAACATTCCTGTGATATGCTGATTTGCTTTATACAGTTTATTACAGAAGACGTTCTCCATACGAGTAAGAATTGACCGGTTCCTGTGGGAATGTGTTTTATTGCAGATGGTGTGGATGGAAAGCAGGCCCGCAGAACCAACTCCAGCACCCCGTTAGGGGAGCTATTTGACCATGGCCTGGATAGCTGGTCATGTGTTTACTTTGTCGTCACTGTGTATTCCATCTTTGGACGAGGACCTTCCGGTGTCAGTGTTTTTGTTCTTTACCTGCTGCTCTGGGTGGTTTTGTTTTCTTTCATCCTGTCCCACTGGGAAAAGTATAACACTGGAGTTCTTTTCCTGCCGTGGGGCTACGACATTAGCCAGGTGGTGAGTATGGGCTTTAACTTTCATTTTCAGTATTGCATCAATTTGTGGGAGGGAAGTTTTCATCATTCCTTTTTATTGCCCTTGTGCTTTCTTATAAAATTAGAACCCATGTGTGCTTTTAAAAAAATCACTTTATATTATTTTTACTTATTTGTGGAAAAGGTTTCAAACATATACAAAGGTTGAGAGGATAGGATAGTGAACCCTTATTTATGTATCTGTTACATAGCTTCAGCAGTTATCAGTGGCCAGTCTAGTTTCATGTATACCCTATCTCCCCTCCTCCCCCTGCTCAATTATTTTAAAGGAAACTTCTGAAATTATATGATAAATGTTACTATTACTCTCTTAATGGTAAGAGCTATTTATTTATTTATTTATTTATTTATTTATTTATTTATATCGTTACCTGAGAATATGTATGTGTGTTTTTAATTGATCTAAGAGAAAGGGAAGGGAGAGAGAGAAACATCCCTGTCAGAGAGAAAGATCGATCTGTTGCCTCCTGTATGCACCCCGACTGGGGATCAAACCCACAACCAAGATGCCACCTTTTCATTAAGGGATGATGCTCTAACCATCTGAGCCACCTGACCACGGCAGTAAGAGCTCTTTTTAAAAAACAAACACACTTGGTTGGGTGTCATCCCGTGCACTGCAAGGTTCCTGGTTGATTCCTGGTCAGGGCACATGCTTGGGTTGCGGGCTCGGTTGCGGGCTCAGTCCCGGGTGGGGAGTATACAGGAGGCAGCTGATTGATGTTTCACTCTCACATTGATGTTCCTCTCCCTCTCCCTGCCTCTCTATAAAAATAAGAAAATTGTAAAAACGAAACAAACTAAACATAAATGCAATGCCATTATTACATAAAAAAAAATGAATAGTTTCTTAATGTGAATAAACTTCCATTTTAACTGTTGGTTTTGGGGGAAAAAAAAGAGTACATAATTATTGACTTTTTCTTGTCACCAACTTTGCAGTGAGTAGCAAGATTTGTTTTTCTTACTTCATAGGCTTGCTATTAACTCTCCCTGCCTTTGAATTGTGCTTTTTATGTTGCCATTTTGCCCATTTGCACTTAAGGCTCCAGGAAAGAGTCAGAAATTGGAATGTTTTTGAAGAAGAAAGTGGGCAAATTGGATCATCTTGTGGCCTCATCAACTTATAAGGTGCCTTAAAGTGTTCCAAATGATGGCCAGTTGCTTGCATTGTTTAGAAGTTATTTGATGGCACTGTTGGCTAAAAAAAAAAAATATATATTTTTTAAGGCAAGAGGACTTGCCACAATTTCAAATTTAAGCATAGTTTTCTTGCTTTTGCTAAAACTGTTGACTAGTTTTATGCTGCATAAAGCATTATTGACTCCCTGATCTTTCCAGCTGTTAATGCCTCTGTATGCTTTTGTCTGCATTTTCCTTCCAGACTATTTCTTTTGTCTACATAGTGACTGCGATTGTGGGAGTTGAGGCCTGGTATGAACCTTTCCTGTTTAATTTCTTATATAGAGACCTATTCACTACAATGATTATTGGTAAGAAGCCCCATGTTGAAGCCTGTTTTAACATCACTTTGTTATCAAAGCTAGTGTTTGATTATAACAAGCAGCAATGTCCTTCCCCCTCTTCGACTGTCCTATAACCCTATAGGATTTCAACCTAATCATAAAGAAAAATAAGGTTTCTTTTGTGTATCCTTCTCTGTTTCTCAGTATCAAGCTATTCTTAATGAGAAGAAAATACCAAAATAGATCACACAAACTTATAAACAACTTAAAGTTTATATCTAGGTTGTATTGGAGGATCCACATGTGGGTGACATTTGGTACAGATTTTCTACTTATCTCAAAGTTGATGATTAGTTTGTAGGAAATAGGATAGAGATTGCTTTATAATACATCCACTCCAAAAGTGGAGCCTCTGTTTATCTGATATCCTCCTCCTACTACTGAATGTGAGGTAAAGGTTTTGATCATGGAAATGTTTCCCTTTGCTTTTAGCTGAAGAGGATATCTACAGGGTGATTGAGCAGGGGAGAGTGTTTCCAGGGAAAGAGGCAAAAAGGAAGAGGAATCTGGATTATTTGGGGCATCAGGAGTAGCATTAAACACCTTTGTAGAAGTAAAAAAGCTTACTTATTGGCTAGTGCTGTTTCCTTATCTAAAAAAATAGCTCTGTCTCTGTATTAGTGAACCTTGGTAATGGAATGGGAATTAGGTAAGGTTTAGAAACAGCTGAGAAAATGGTGCCCTAGGCACTGGCTTTCAGAAAAAGAGTGGTTTGGGCCCTTTTCATGGCTCTGAACCATAGATATTCTAGGAACCCTGCTGTAATCTACCAAATGTTCACTTTTGGTACCTATATAAACTGTGATTACCATACCTTGAAAAGGCTAACTATTGGGTCGGCAAGTAAGTAATTGCGGATTTTTTAAAGAAAATCAAAGACAATTTTTTCATGGAACTAAATAACTTTATTCTGTAATGTATTGCCCATTTTGATCAATGACCTTTTGCCATCTTTCAGGCAGCATCATAATCCCACGTTCAAAAAACTTCTGGTTTTTATTAGCAAAAAACTGAATCAGGTACGATTTGACATCATCATCATTATTGAAATTTTTACCATTCAAGGAGTTTTGTAAAGATCGAAACAAAAAGTAATCAGATGGTGCAAGGTCAGGACTATATGGTGGATGTGGCAAAACATCCCAACCAAGCTCCATTAATTTTTGCCGAGTGACCAAAGATGTGTGTGGCCTTGCATTGTCATGATGGAATACAACACCTTTTCGATTTGTCAATTTGGGCCGCTTTTCTTCAACTGCATTGTTTAATTTCATTAGTTGTTCAATGTAGACATCAGAATTGATCGTTCGGTTGGGTGGTAAGAGTTCAAAGTAGACAATTCCTTTGTAATCCCACCAAACTGATAACAAAACCTTCTTTTGATGAATATCAGCTTTTGATGTTGTTTGAGTTGGTTCACCTGGCCTGCTCCACGATCTTTTCCGCTTGATATTGTTGTAAACAACCCATTTTTCATCACCAGTTATCAGTCGTTTTAAAAATGGATCATTTTCATTACGTTTCTTTAGCAAATCGCAGCTGCTAATGCGTTGCGTTAACTGTGATTCTTTCAGTTCGTGAGGAACCCATGTATCGAGTTTTTGAACATAGCCAAGTTGTTTTAAGTGATTTTCAATGCATGTATGTGATACATGAAGCTTCTCTGCAATCTCACGTGTTGTACTGTGACAGTCCGAATTGATTATTGCTTTGATTAGGGCGTCATCAACTTCAACTGGACAACCAGAGCGTTTTTCATCTTTGAGTGAAAAATCACCAGAACGAAATTTGGCAAACCAATTTTGACACTGCCGTTCTTTTAAGGCTTCGTCACCATAAACAGCCCATAACTTTTTATGAGCTTGCGATGCGTTTTTCCCTTTGTGGAAATAAAAAATCAAAATATGACGAAAATGTTCCTTTTGATTTTCCATTTTTCAACGAACGCCAAACGAAAACTACAAAACAGATCAAAAAACTTTTTTTACTGATTAACAGCTGAATAGCCAACTATCAAATAACAAAATGTGTTTTACATTTTTACTACGTCTGCAAACCTAAAAATTCAACTGAAGCCATATATGTGTGAAACCCGCAATTACTTACTTGCCGACCCAATATTTTTCATCTCCCATCATGTAGTGGATCTTTTGTTTTAAGCAGCTTATCACATGGCAGTTTGTTGCATTTTACATTTAAATGTTAAATGTAAAGATTAGGTGGAATTCTCTGGTAATATGAGATATACTTTTGAATGTTAAATGAGTGCTTTATTGGACATATCATTTTGTTTGTAATTTATAAGTTTAACTGAATTCTTCCCTCTGAAATAAAACAAAAGCCCACATTTTTGTGCAAATCAGTGGAGTAGCTTTTCCAGTACTAGATTTGAGTAGACACAGATAAATAGAAGAAGGGCCTTAGTGCTTAAGCCATTTAGTTTCTGCCAATAAAATTAGTAGTGCTGGTGTTGAGGTGACTGGGTGCACTAGAGCCTCTGGTTAGGCAAAGAATGGTTAAAGATTGGTAGGCGGTGGAGTGGCTCCTGTTTGCTATTATGGAAGGTTAACTTCTTTGGGTACAACATACAGGCCACCAAGAAAGCAAGATTCCCGCCCTAGTCTCCCCCTTCCCTCTTTTTGATTATGAAAAAATTTAAACATTATATTTTTTCTATTCTTTCTACTTATTTATTTTTATTGATTTTAGAGAGAATAAGGGAGATGGGGAGAGAGAGAGAGAGAGAAACATCAACCATGAGAAAGAATCATTGATAGGCTGCCTCTTGCATGCCCCCTGTTGAGGATCAAGCCTACAACCTGGGCATGTGCCCTTGACCAGAATCAAACCCAGGACCCTTGGTCCTCAGGCTGATGCTCTATCCACTGAGCCAAACTGGCGAGGGCTATTCCTTCTCCTTTTATGTAATAGATCCCTATGTGACATCATCTGGCTTTAACAGTTTTCAATTTAAGTGCCAGTCTTGTTTCAAATGCATAACTACCCCATAACCCTTTTGTTATTTATAACATAGTAGAGGCCCGGTGGATGGATTGGTGCACATTGAAAGGAAATTAATTAGAAGGTGGTGGGGTGAGACTGGGCAAGATGGGCTGGACATGCCCTGGAACCAACCTCCTGCAGTCCCTTCCTGGCCAGCCACACCTCGGGTGGCTCCAGGGCTTGAAGGGCATCTGTGGAGTGAACGGGATCCCTCCAGCAGGTGGGGTCCCTTGGCCTGGCCTGTGGGATTGGGCCAAAATCGGTGGTTGGACATCCCTCAAGGGCTCCTGGAATGCAAGAGGGCACTCTGCAAAGTAGCTGTCACTTGGCATCTCCTGTGTTGAGCGTCTGCCCCCCTGGTAGTCAGTGCACATTATATAATAGCTACTGGCAGTTGGCCAGTCAGCCTGTTGCTTAGCCTTTTATATATATAGATAGTCTTTTATAATTATCAACTATTTACAATTTCTGCTGCACTTCATTCCTTCCTGCATATCCGACTTAAAATATGGTGTTCTTTCTCAGAAGCCTGAAGAACTTCCTTTAGCATTTCTTATAGAGCAGGTCTGATAGCATTGTATTCTCTGTTTTTGTTTATGTGAAAATGTTTTTATTTTTATCTTGGTTTCCTCCCCCCACTACTTCGAATATGTCATTCTAATGTCCTGTGGTAGCCACTGTTTCTGAGCTAGCTCTTATATCATTGTCAGCCTGTATGTAATGTCTCATTTTTCTTTTGTTGATTTTAAGATTCTTTATCTTTGGCTTTTGAAAATTTGACTGTGGTATACATAGGTGTGGTTTTCTTTGTGTTTGTTCTTGGTCTTGAGCTTGTTAGATATGTAAGTTAATATTTTGACTAAATATGGGAAATTTTCAACCACAGTTTATTTCTTCAGATTTTTTTTCTGTCTCTTCTCTCCCGGACTTCATTTGCATGTATGTTAGAGTGCTTTCATGCTATTGTCCTATAGGTGATCTTTATGAAGCTTTATTAATTTTACTGTAATATTTTTTTCTCTATTTTTTTTATTATATAACTAGAGGCCTGGTACATGAATTTGTGCACCAGAGGGGTCTCTTGGCCTGGCTTGTGGGATCAGGCCAAAACCAGCTCTCTGACATCCCCCGAGGGGTCCTGGATTTTAAGAGGGCACAAACCAGGCTGAGGGACTCTACCGTTGCACGATCAGAGCCGGGAGGGACCGATGGAGGGTTCCAGGGCATGTCTGGTCCATCTTACTCAGTCCTGATCGGCCGGACCCCGGCAGCAAGCTAACCTACTGGTCCAAGCATCTGCCCCTAGTGGTCAGTGCATGTCATAGTGAGCTGTTGAGTGGCCTTAGCATATCATTAGCATATTACGCTTTGGTTAAATGGCCGACCAGACAACTGAGCACTTAACATATTAGGCTTTTATTATAGGCATTTCTATTCATCTGTCTTTTACTTCACTGATTTTTTTCTTCTGCTATCTCCCATGCTTCTTAAGTTATCTCGTGAATTTTTCATGAAACCTATCATTTAAGTTATCACACTTTTAAACTCTAGATTTTTTTTTTTTTTTTTTACACTCCATTTCTTTATTGAGATTCTCTATTGCTTTATTGTGTGGATGTACCATAGTTTATTCAACTAGACTTCTACTGGCTCCTTGAAGTCTGCTCTGAATCAGCAAACTGTCTTGACACTCTTCCAATTGTAAATATTGTTCAGAAAAGGATTGTATTTCATTACAGAAGTAAACTGGAATTTAAAAATGATTGAGTCTAGAAATATTAAATATTTTGTATGTACTTATTATAAAAGTCACTTGAATAATAATTATTATGATTTAAATGTTCTTCCTTTTAGGTTGTGCATTATGTGTGACTCTTCCAATGAGTTTATTAAACTTCTACAAGTAAGTATTTAATTTTTTAATTGGATAAGAAATTGTTATTTAGAGAAATTTAAGATCTCTCCATTTGGAATCTGGATATTTTGAAAAGGTTGTGAAATCTGTATTTTTGAATCTAGAAGGAGGTTAGGGTAATTTAGGATATTTACTATGGCTTGTGTACTCACTTCAACCGTAGCACAAAACTACTTGTTCTTTTGTTACAATTTTAGGTTCACCAAATAGTCTTCTAATTTGCCATTTTTTGTGAGTGAATCCACAGGAAGGTATTCCAATTGAATATTGATGCATTTAAATATATTTTTACTGATTTCAGAGAGCTAGGGAAAGGGAGAGATAGAAACATCAATGATGAGAGAGAATCATTAATTGGCTGCCCCCAGGACACCCCTCACTGGGGATGAGCCTGCAACCCAGGCATGTACTTTAATCCGGGAATCAGACCACAACCCTCCTGGTTCAGAGCTTGATGCTAAAACCACTGAGCAACCACACTGGCTGGGCTAATATGTTTACATTGTGTTTTATAAATTGATTAGTTCTAAGTTTACTTAGCATAATCATAAAAAAAAAAAAACACACATGAAAACTTCTGAACTCTGTAGGACCAAACTCTAGACCTCTGCTGGCTCTTCTCAGCACTATATATTATAGAATTCCTGCCTGGGGGGGTGGCAGGGTTTGGGGAGGGCAGTTGCCCAAGTGGAGTTTCATTTTTCTGCTCTTTCCTTCCTCATTTTTTTTACTCTTGCTGTTTCCTCTACTTGAAAAACTTTCTTGTATTTCCTCCTTCATCCTTTAGTTCTCAAATCTGTCTGCAAAATCTTGTCCATGTCAACCTAAGCTCTATGAATCTTCCCTGTTTATTGCAAAGGCAGTCATAGAAACCATAACATTTAAAGCTCTGAAGGCCACAGAGATTATTTGAGTCATTTCTTCCTCATTTTCTAAAGATGCGGTCTTGATTAGGCAACATCTTGGCCAAGGGCATGCAATCAGGGGCAGAACCAGGGCTAGAATTTGGGGTTCTGATCAGATGAGCAAACGTGCCTAGAGATGCTAGAGTGCTGTCAGCAGTCTCATTTCAGAATCTTCCAGGTGAATTGTTTCTCACTTTAAGTTCTCTGTCCTGTTATCAGAGTAGCATTGTGAGGTCCTCTTGTAGTATTGTTTTATGTCCATTTTATTTTTCCTATTAGAATATAATCTCAACGAAAAGTGATAGTCAACCCTTTTCATCTCATGGTACGCATAAACTAATTACTAAAATTCTCGGGCATACCAAAACTATTTTTTTTTCTTTCTGATTTGACAAAAACAAAGGTATACCATATTTTTCGGACCATGAGACACTCCGGACCATAAGACGCACCAGTTTTTAGAGAAGGGAAATGAAGAAAAAAAGATTCTGAAACAAATAGTGTCCTAAAATATTTTATGTGCATTAAAACCCAACATCACAGTCATAAACACATGTAATCAACCCTGTAAAGTAAACAGCAGCATTTAGAACCATTTTAGAGCCGGGCAAACACACAGAGACCACACAGAGCCGGGCAAGTAAAAAAACTTTTTTTTTAAAGTATATGTGTAGGCTATATTTGGACCATAAGACGCGTCCGAAAAATACGGTAATTTTGATTCATTCACTCTGGACGGCTATTGTTGTGTTGACTGTCATTTTTTTTTTTTAACTTTTAGAATTAATTTATTGGGGTGACATTGGTTAATAAAATTATATAGGTTTCAGGTTGTCACTTAAAAAAGATATATTTTTTGTTGATTTCAGAGAAGGAGAGAGAGAGAAATATCAATAATGAACCCTCCTACAAAGGTGTGTCTGTAGTTACATGTCTTTGGACACATAAGAACTGGAGGCAAAGAAATGTGGAATTGGAGAAGTCTGGAGCCAGCTTGCTCCCTGCAGGCTCAAGATCAACCATCCCACCACATAAGAAAAAAAAAAAAAAAGGAAACATCAATGATAAAAGAGAACCATTGATCGGCTGCCTCCTACACGCCCCACACTGGGGATGGAGCTCCCCAGCCCAGGCATGTGCCCTGACAGGGAATCGAATGGTGACCTCCTAGTTCATAGGTTGACACTCAACCACTGAGTCACGCCGGCTGGGCAGGTTGTCATTTTTTAACTTGACAACCTAAGGGAAAAGTGGTCAGTGCCCCTGACTAAATAGTCAGGTATTGCATGTTTTAAAAATTCTTTGGCACACCTGTTAAAAATCACTGTCATAGAACAAAGACCGAGTTTTTTTCATCTTCACATTCCAGGTGTAAAATTGGGACTAGGTCAGAAGTTCTAATCCTGGCCATGTCACTTGGTAGCAATTTGTGTAAATTTAAATTTTCACATCTTCACTTAACCTGTCTGTTAAAATGGGGTTAATAATGTTGATTGTTACCTATGCCATAGAACTGTGGTGAGTATCAAATTAGGCATAAGTCTGAAAGTACTTTAAAATTATAAAATACAATTATAAGTTTTATATGTAATAATGCTCTTTGTATTAACTTGATTTTTTTTTTTTTTTCTTCCAGAAGCTATAAAAGTAACAGCTTGAAACACAATTCAATCTATGAAGCTCTGGTCCCCTTCTTTTCTCCATGTTTGCTATTCATTTTGTCTACAGCCTGGATCCTCCAGTCACCTTCTGATATTTTAGAGATGCATCCTAGAGTATTCTACTTTATGGTTGGAACAGCCTTTGCCAATATCACAGTAAGATTTTTTTCTTTTAAAAATTATAAGATATATAAGGACTTTATGATAGTTGATAATTTGAGAAACCTTATACAGATTAAAATAAGCAGATATTAATTTAAAGATATTTTCATTCAAAATTTGAGAAAATAATAATCTCAAAGACAGAACTTGCTGAGGTTATATTATTTTTTTTTTCCTTTGAAATCAATAAGGTTTAGAGACTGCAATAGTATTTTTGAATCATAGTTTATTTGAACTTTTTGTTTTGGTTGCCTGCTGAAGAATTCCTGGAATAATTTATAAACGCCCTCCAGACTGTAAAAATTATTAACAGTGTCATTGAAATGGCTTTAGATCTAATGATTAGTTTAGGGAGAACTTAAAGCGAGAAATAATTCATCTGGAAGATCTGAAATGAGACTGCTGATAGCTCCTCCCACACATATTTTTAACCAACTGATTTTTAAATTAAGTACATGGGACTATAAGCTAGGTAACAAATACAACGTATTTTTAAAAATTAGGAGCTGAGAAAAGACCCTGATAGTTTTGGGAGCCAGGAACCTTGTTCTCCTGCTCAGGCCAGGTCCTTAACAAGTTTTTTATTTTCTAACTTAGTCACTGAGCTTATGTTTCCATGTATAAAAGTATTTCTGAGTGAATAAAACTGTATTTCATTAAGGTATTGAAAGTAAAGGAGCCAAAGAGGTTTGAGGTGTTAATATGGTAATATGAGAAATTTAGTTGTGTTGGGGGTGTGGGAGGCTGTTTTTTTTAAAACATATTTTATTGATTTTTTTACAGAGAGGAAGGGAGAGGGAGAGAGAGTTAGGAACATACATCAGCTGCCTCCTGTACACTCCCCACTGGGTATGTGCCCGCAACCAAGGTACATGCCCTTGATCGGAATCGAACTCAGGACCCCTGAGTCCGTAGGCCAATGCTCTATCCACTGAGCCAAACCAGCTAGGGCATGAGAGGCTGTTTTGAAAAAAATTTTAAAGTCACAAGGAGTCTTAGAATTGGGAGAAACTTTTACCCAAATTGTTATCAGGTAGAAGAATGCCTTCTATAGCATCCTTTCTGACAAGCATATGGTCTGCGGGTCAACAGGTTTGAAGGTGGGGGCAAATATCCAGTTGTCCCCTGATCTGATCATTGGAACTACTGAACTTAATGTAATGTTAACGTGTTGGCTCAGGTGCTTGAATCCTTCTTAAATGTTGGTGTGACACAGTTTGGAAGTGTTTTGCTAATTAAATTTTTATTCCCTCCCCACCATTTTTTTTTTTTTTTTTTTAAACTACAAGTGTCAGCTGATTGTTTGTCAAATGAGCAATACCAGATGTCCAACTTTGAATTGGTTGCTGGTTCCTCTCTTCTTGGTTGTCATGGTGGTAAACTTAGGAGTCGCCTCTTACGTTGAGAGTGTGCTCCTCTATACAACAACAGCGGTTTTCACTCTGGCCCACATCCATTATGGAGTACGAGTGGTGAGTAATTGAGAATTAATTAATATTGGTGCCATTTGGTTCTTATAAAAAGAGAGAAGGTGAGGGAAAATTGTAAATGAAAGTTTGCTTAATATAGTAGCTGGAAGTATTTTGGTATATTCTCTAAATGTTTTGTAATATCCAGGTGTTTCATTTTATATATTGGTTCTCTAATGAGTATGTTATAATAATACAAATAATTTAAAAGCTGGATAATTATAAGGAGTTCTTAAGTCGATAGAAATGTAAAACATTTTCTTGTTGCATAGAATTATAAACTCTTTTGTGCTTTTAATTATATAGGATGAGATAATCCCATTTGTTGATTATTTTTCTGCATACTTTAGCTCTAGGGGCATTTTTATTGCTAATTAATATTATTTTGGAGAGAAACTGAAATTGGTTTTGTAGCACTGTCTCCCTCTCTCCTCCCCCTGAATGTGGTAAGGAGTTTAGGACTTCATTATTCGAAGTTTTACTTTATCTATGCTGTTTTTGTTCTCATCAGGAGAAATAATAAATAAGGGGAAATATAGAAGAGACAGGATTTAAGAAATATGCAAACTATAACATTCTCTAATAAAAATAAGAGACTAACCTTGTCTCTGGGTCGAGGGACCTGGCCCTGAGCGGGCCTGCCTAGGGCAGGCATGTAGTGTGGGTTATTGATTTCATCTAGGAAAAATTTCACAACACAAGTCCAGGTGACTGAGGGAACCTGGATGAAAGCCGGGGACAATAAAACAAAGAAGGGCTTATTAGTGTAGGAGGAGCACCAGGAGAGCCTAGGCGGGCTGTCTGGGAGATCAGGGAAAAGGGGACTGGGAACAGGCTCAGGGTCATCCTGGGATGAGCTGCCGCTGCCCATTGCTCCCCAGGTTATAATTCTCCTGGGTGCCTTCCCCTTTAGGAGATACGTGCCTGAGGGGGAGAAGGGAGGGAAGGGAATAGAGGGGAGCTGCTCCCCAGAGGGGAGCTAGGCTTTTTGGCTTGAGGCTTTTATCTCTTTCTTGCAGGCGGGAATCTCAGGGGATGGTTTCAGCAGAATATTCATCTGTTTTCTAGGTGTGCTCCTTCAGGGTCATGGTCTCCACTGATCGCTCACTGTCAGATCACTGTCAGGGCCGGGGATCATTGGTCATTGCCGCTGGTCTGGTCCGAATTCTCCCACAGATTTTGGCTGCTTTTTAGGCCTGGAGCTGAAATACCCTGCTGAGGCCTAGATGTTCTCTCTAGGGAGGGACCTTCTGTATCTCCTGTAAATTGCTGTCAGTTTGCTCAGCTGTCTTAGTTTCCCTGTTCTACTTGTCCTGGCTTGCTGGCCTGTCTCAGTTTCAGGACAAATGGACCAAGATTGATGTAATAAAATGAAAATCAGAACCATGCAGTTTATTTATTTTTTTCATCACACTTCAACATTCTTTTCTAATTATTTTACATATTTTAGTATGTACATAATTTTGATCTTTAAATAGTATAGCATATTCTATCAAGGAAATTGCTAAATAGTAACTCAGTTTACTAAATTATGATCCAGTTATTTTAATCACTTAGATTGTTTCCAAATTTTCACTATTACAAATAATATTGAACAATCTGGAGTAATATTTTTTCTTTCATTTGCTTTATTTTCTGAAGATACTTTCATAGGAGTGGGGTTATATAGAAGGCTATTCACATTTTTATGTCTCTTAAGACTTCTATTTGGTATGCTTGTTTTGAAAGGAACCCTGCTGTGAATCAGTTTGAAAAAACAATTATATATTGTTGTTCATAGTTCTAAAGTGAGGGGCGCCTGTCATGCTTGATAACAACTTTATACTTTGCATATGTTATTAAACTTAGACTTTTCCCCTCTATGTTTCTCCGCAGCAGAGCCCACATCTGTTGGGAGAAATCGATGAAATTGTTAGGAAAAAAATCATAACTCTATGAATTATAATATGAAGACATAATTGTCTGTGTTGTTATTTGTGCAAATTTAACATGATGTTCTATAGCAGCATTTATAGCCTTTTATCCTGATATTTCATCAGGCATATGCATGATGCAGAACACAGTTGCCAAGGTCTTCTTTAAAATTTATGTATGTTTGTTGGTTTCAGAGAGGAAGGGAGAGGGAGAGGGAGGTAGAAACATCACTGATGAGAAAGAATCAGTGATTGGCTGCCTCCTGCATGTCCCCCACTGGGGGTCGAGCCTGCAACCTCAGGCATGTGCCCTGACAGGGAATTGAACCATGACCTCCAGGTACGGAGGTGGATGCTCACCCATTGAGCCATGCTGGCCAGGCTGCCAAAGTCTTTTGTAGTCGTTTTAATTTATTATAACTCTTCAGAAGCACATCTTCAGAAAATCATACGTATACCAAACCAAACCAAAACACATTTTTCTTTAAATTTTCTTTATTAAAATCTGGAAAATAGATATAAGCTAACTGAAAGAAATTACAGGAGTCTCTTCTTTTATCTGTCTTCATGTTCTCTTACCACTTCTACAACTTCTGACCAGGAAGTAAAACTTGCTAAGTTATACAAAATATTCACTTGAACCATTGAAATATACTAGTAATACAAATAAAAAAAAGAAGTAAGAAATATCAAACAAATTATATTTACTAACTGACATATAACCAAGTTCTTGCAAACCCCTTGTGATACCCTAACTCAGTGGTCGGCAAACTCGTTAAACTTAAACTTCTTCTAACGCCACTTCTTCAAAATAGACTTGCCCAGGCTGTGATATTTTGTGGAAGAGCCACACTCAAGAGGCCAAAGAGCCGCATGTGGCTTGTGAGCCGCAGTTTGCCAATCATGGCCCTACTATGTCCTAAACCTCCCCAAATGTGTACAGATCTAGTTTTAAACTCTTTTATCAGGATTAGGAATGATTACTAAGAAATGTTATAAAAAGCTGAATATTGAGTCTATATATATATATATATATATATATATAGTCTATATATATATTTATATTGAGTATATATATATAAATATTTGACCTACTAGCTGGTTTAAATCAACTAACCTTGTAATTTTTCAGAAGATTTGATGCTAATCTGTATGGTCTCGAGGGCTCTGGGAAGACTAGGACAGTGGAGAACCAGGTTTAAGTCCTAGCGCTCTGAGGAGAGGTCTAGCACTCCTCTTCAGCCATCCAGGGCCATAGCTAGCACTGACCCAGAAAAACCTTCATTATGTCTCATGATTTTTGCTGTGTCAGTAAATTGTTGTCTTCAGAGGGTGAATTCTGTGTGCTTAAAAGAAATAAATAATTAGTTCATATTTGTCACTGTCTCCTTTTCTGGTTTTATATAGGTAAAGCAACTGAGCAGCCATTTTCAGATTTACCCGTTCTCATTAAGGAAACCCAACTCAGATTGACTAGGAATGGAAGAAAAGAATATTGGCCTGTAATCTACAGAAAGAAGTACTGTAAATACGATGCTTGTAAATATTTCATCTATCACCATTGAACTAAACTGATCTGCTTAACAGACATGGGAACTCTGTGTGTGGTACTTGTACAGCAAAAATGATACATTTAATCTGAAAAGTGGAATTTCGAACCTACTAACTCCCACCTTATTTTATTTTTTATTGAACCATGTGATGTTTTGGTGAAGCCTAATGTACATTAGACCAGCAAAATGTTTCTAGACATTTTAACTTCATGAGTCCATAATGTTTTGGTTCATACAGAGTTAAAGATGCTTTATTTTTTATTATTTAAAACACCCCCAAATTGTTTTAAAACACTGATGATGTTCAGAAAACCACAATATGTTTTTGTATTTGGTTCTCAGTAATGGGTCGTTAGCTCCAGAAGCTCTCAGTAGTCCACGTCTAACATCAGGAAAAGATAAGAGCAAGTCGCCTTCAGTAAGAGGTGCCACATGACTTCAGGACGATATACCGGTTTGCCAATATACTGGTTTCTCTTTCCCACGGAAATGCCTTTGTCCTCATGTGTTAAGAGAGCTAGGATATATGTTTAGATTCTCTAATATTCTGGCTCTCTTTGTTATGGAGCAGAGCTTTGTCAATGGTTTAATTTTCTTTTTAAAGAAAAATATTCTATTGAGACTCAATAGAGAATGGAATGGAATTGTAGCTCTCCCATTGGCATGGATCATTGTTTAAATGTGGCATTTCCCCCCTCAGCTCTAAGATGCTGAGATTTGGTGCCTGAGAACTGATTAAGTGAATGCACGTTCCATTGTGAGTCTAATGGTGACTACTTGCGAGGAACACAGATGAACTTCCTTCTTGGAGAAATTTACTTTGGGTTAGGACTCTCATGAACCTCACTATGAAATGAGTTTTGTAATTCAGTTTGTCCTTCCTTCCTTCCTCTCTTTTTGTAGAGGAGAGAGTGCTGTGCATTTTTTTAAATTTCTTATTTTATTCAGGATAAAGAGGTAGAGAGAAACTCTTCTCCAGCTTGCCCGCCTTCCCACTTGAAGAATTTTTTTTTAAATATATGCCTTATTGAGTACATACTCTCTTTAATAATACTTGGAACAGTTTTTGAGGTTTACAGACAAGCATCAAAATCTCTTTGACTTTAATGTGGTTATTTGATAGCTCACACCTTTCCATGAATGTGGATATTTCCTTCTTCTTTTTACTTTGTGTCTCTTAACTTTGGTGGTAGTGAAATTTACTCCCTGGTTTTCTTTTATTTTTCACTGAATGAAATTGTGCTTGAATGAAGAGTGTATCTTAAACCCTGTTTTTGGATGGATTGCACTTGGATAAAATAGGCACCACTGTGTTGATATGTAATTAAGTTCATAACCATTATTTATCTGGGAATGTGACTATTTTAAAATTTCATTATATAGTGTATTTCTTTGTTGAACTTCTGTCTGCTGCTTTGTAAAAAATAACTATATAATTGATATTTCAGTTCCTAAATTTATAAATTCTAATAATTGTCATCTCGGTCATTAGAAATGAAGAGCCAAGGAACTGATCTCATGGTTCTGTACTCATTTTTAAAAATGTTTGTAAAGGTTGAGGTATATTCAGTGACTTTATCTGAGACAAAAATGAACACCGCAAATTGGTGAGAAATTGATGCCAGAAAATGTGGGTAGTGATTCCATGTTTGTTGAGAAGTTGCCATCATCGAGGTCAGAGGATGAATCAGTTACGTGAGGGAAAGGCTCTTCTCAGTAGACCTCGTTCCGTGTCATCTGTAAAACTGGGGAAAGTGTTCTTTTGGGCTGGGAACAGAGCTTTGTTTTAAGGTTTCTGAGCTAATCATTTCACTGTTCTGTTGACCTTGTGCACAAGAATGAGGTTAGTCTGTACTCTATCGGAAAGGAACGGATTCGTATTTATAAAATGACACATTGGACCACAGGCTTCCTTCACTTATAGCACAGCAAGAAAATACCTCTCTCTCTGGCGGAAGGTCCCGTCCTGTCATTTGGGGGCTTTTACCTCAAAGTGTGTTTCTGCTCTCTTTCTGTTGCATCAAGTTCATTTGAGAATTGTTTTGTGCCTATACTTTATGACTTATTCCCCTCTGGTGGTAAAGAATGTTGCCATCGTCAGTTTTATCGACATCCTTAGAGGAAAGAAAAGGGACTCTCAGCAAGGTGAAAGTAAAAGTGGGATGAGCTGTCTCAGAACATCGTGAACTGTGCCTCTGGAGTGTGTGCTGCTGACTTGTTCTCGGTGTAGTCTGCCATCTTCAAGTGCATCTTGAAAGACCCCGTTTGTTATGTGGTGATGGGGTGCCTGAGCAGGACTTAGTTACAAATAGCTCTGTGCATTTATGTCCTGCAGTTACCACGACACAGCCTTTCTGCCAGCATACACTGAGCTGCCTTTTGGGGGAACAATGGGATGGTTGGTCACCCCTACATGTTTTCTGTACATTTCAGAATAGAGTGCCTTAGCCAGGCCAGAGGTTTACTTTGTGTTTCTACTGACCAAAGTTACCTAACCTGTAAGAGAAGTTTCTTTTCAGGTTCTGGTATGAAAAATGCCCTTTCTTGCTTGTCAGAAAAGAATTCCGCTATATTTGAGGGGGGCATGAGATAGAAAAATTAGAAAATACCTGGATACAGAATGTTAATGCTGCCTTTTGTGAACTTCAATAACATGATCTTAGTGCAACAAAAGTTTAAATTTGTTACATTTTAAATCGTCATTCCTCCACTAATATGTAATGAATCTAGTTTATGGGTTTTAGCCTTCAGGGTACTAGAGTAACTTCCAAATAGAAAACTAAATAATCTTCCTTGATATTGAATAATATCTTGGTTAATTCTAATTTAATTCTAATGTAAAAGTACTTTTAATTCTAATTTAAAAAGAAATGCTGATTATGGTCTAGAATGTTAGGTACTACTACCAACACATCATTTATTTTAATATAGAGCTGTTAGGAGAGGAATGTATCAAATTCCAAATTAGATACAGAAGAGTGTTGACCATGGTCTGGAACCTGGGCATTGGGGGAATATGCATAGCAAAAACAAAAACAAAACAAAAAAAAGTGTCATACATCCTTTAAGGATAAGTAGGGATCACCTTAATGCCTAATGCCCATGGGGCCAATGATTTAAGTGTAATGCATATTTTAAAATTATCACACTATAGCTCATCATTCCTCGACTAATTTTGGACTCAGCTGTGAATTTGAAAGTTTCCTAATTGTTTAATTTACGAAGAATTAGTGTACTTTGTAGTTAGTCATAAAGCATTGGGAATGTTCCTTGTTGTCCGAAGCAGACTTTGATTCTGTAACCTATGGAGGATAAAAAGGTAATCTGAAGGTGCTTGAATCAAAGGCTACTTTCCCCCTTATATTTTAACTAGAAGTCTGTAACTCTTCCTCTCCAGTCTTCACCTGGGTTTCACGTTAACTAGCCACTGCCTAGGACAGAGAGGCCCACCTGCTGTGTTGCCCCAGATCTTGCCACATTCAAATCTCCTTGATCGCCTTTAGAAATCTTGTCCAGTCAAGGACTGGGAACGGGCCAGAGGAGACAAAGTAAACCTGATGGGCTAGATTAACGTTGACCTTGGGTTTCCAAAGAAGCCAAAAACAGGTACGGAGATCTTTGGTTGTGTTGGTTCCTGTGTTCAGAGTGGCCTTTCTCTTGACCTCAGATCTGGACATGATTGAGCACTCTTCTTCTAGGAAATTTCGAGGTCAGACTAGAATCTTCTTTGTCCTATGAGATTTCTTTATAAGGCAGCGTGCCCTTTCTTGAACACCCTGTGGGTGAACAACCTTATTAGGTTAGCTGCCAATACTAGAACCTTCCAGGAGTTTTAACTAGTATGCTGCATTTGAAGCACTTTGACATGTACGTTTAAGGTGACAGTTTTAACAATGAAATGTTGTTCAATTAATCACTGTGAACCTTGAAAGTGTGAAGCTCTGCATTTTAGAATAGCTTAAGTAGATTCCGATTTTCCTTGATTAATTATGAGATGTGATTTGTATATTTTTACTTTTCATCTTTGACGGTGGTTCAAATGACTGACATGTTGGCAGGCAGCTGCTTTTAGGGTCTATGATCAATTATGGTGGTTTAACTTTTCCAGAGAAAGTGGCGATGTGTTTACTTTTTTCTTGCATGGAGCCATGGGAATTGGTTTTTTTGGCTCATTCATTTCCAGTGTTTCTACGGTGCAAAATAAATGTCATCTTACTTTTTAACCTGCATGCAAGTAATGTGCTTTGGTTTTTAGTAAACAAATACGCAAAAGATAGTCATCTGGCTGATTTTATTTGTTTGTTTGTTTTTAAACAGGGACCTGCTCTTTATACAGACAGATCGTCACTAGCTAATATTTAGGATAGCAAAGGCAGTTTTGCCACTTGTAGCCCTCTCACGGGTGGCCTGAGCAAGGGGGTGAGATTGCATTTGGCCAGAAAGGCCCGGTCCCCAGAATTGGAGAGTGGCACAGGGACTGATTTTTTTAATAAGGGCTCGTCTTCTTAGGGAGGTCCGTTTGGATACAACAGGAGTGACTGGTCTCCCACAGGCCATTCACACTGCCTGGGTCTTCACAGAGTCATTCTTGAAAGCCAGGCGGCATCAGAGGGTGCTGTTTTTAAAGCATGTGCGTTGGATCATGACCATAGGGTACCTAATGCTACATTGAAATTAGAGTCAGGTTTGAAGACAAGGAGTGGCTAAATGCTGTGGTGCCTAGGCTCTTTGGCTACCTCCTGTCTTCTCTCGAGCAGTTAATAAGGGTAACCACTAAAATTAACTTTTTAAAAATTTAATCATACATAATTCTCCATGAATTCTAGATTCTGATATTCTTGACAAGCACTTTTTATTATCTAAGAAGTTTCTGATGAGGAACATGTTTTAATTTTACAAGATCTCTGCATGCTGCATTGTAAATCTGTTTAAAATACTGGTATCATTCCACGTCAGTCTTTGAATTTAATAACTACTATTTAAGATTGCCTCACAATATTAACTTTTTTTTTTTGTAGATTATTTTGTTTAGATAACTTGCCCCATTAGAGCAGCCATACAAGATACAAAGACCCAGCTACATGGGTTACTTACTCATTCTGAAATGTGCCAAGAAAGCAGAATTTAGCATTAAACTCTAAATTTCAACTTCTTTAAAAAAAAAGGTAGCATTTCCTCTGGTAAAGGAGTAGTCAGTGGATAATTGCCAAGGTGTAGAGGTATAAACTTCCTGCTGCCGTCTTCTCCCCTCCCCTCCCCTTCCCCACCTCCCCTCCATCTAATATAATAGATGAAATCTGTAACCAATTGCAGAAAAAGAACTGGATGCTTTTCTGTGTACGGTTTCCTGCCCTGTGATTAAGAATGGGTGGCAGGAACCATGGCCGAATCAATTACTGTTGCAGTTTGCTTTCTGTAGATTCTGAAACAAAAGACGGTTCCATCCCTTCTCAGGTACCTAGAGACAATACCACTCAAGCAACTGGAATATATTTGCTACAAGTCGAATACATTATCGAAGAAGAAGAGGAGCACAAAATTTTATTTTCCCTTTCAAGTAGTTTAATGGACCATATAATCAGTCTCTCTAGGACTTGCTGTGTTTGTAGTAAATCATGTAGCATTTATTTTGTCTGGTTATGTGTGATGAGAGTGTATATATACATAGTTCATATGTACACATGTATTCTCTGTGCATATATATGTATGATCTACTCGTGTGTACATGCAGTTACTCTTGATTATCAGCAAGGTGGTGAGCCCTCCTGCACTTTCTTCCTGCTGACTCGACCTGCATGGAGCCACAGGCTTTCCTGCTCCTAGCTCATCTCAGTCCCTGGAAAGGCCCTTGAAATAAGTCACTTTCCATTTCCCTTTCACGGGGATCGTGTGAGCCAGGAAGCCCGCTTTTGAGAAAGACGGCCACTTCCACGCGGGCTGAGGCTTCTGGGTCTGAAGGTGATGGGGCCCATTCCTGGCTGGCAGGCAGCTCCGGCCTCGGCGCCTGCAGAAGTGGGGCTTCGCAACTCGCTTCAGTTCCTTAGCAGGAATCCTGTAAAATCGTAGATAAGTCTGTGATGTACAACCATGTGTTTGACCGATGTATTTGCATCAGCTGTGTTGCTGTTTCCCGTCGCTACCCCAGATAATCAAGACCTGACTGTTTCTTGCCACTGGATTCCAGAAGCCTTGTCCTTTCAACTGGATTTAATGTTTATTTCTGCTGCTGTGAAACCCAAAAGTAATGCAGTAGGTTTTAATTTAAAATTGTTTAATTCCATGATTGATAAATATTTATTGTAATAAAAAGTAAAGAGTAAATAATTTTTAAATCCTTTCAGTTTTCAGACTGTCTTTTTTGTTTTTCCCGGGTAGGTGCAAAATGGGAGGGAGCTGTGGGGAGGAATGTCCGGCCACTTGTCTTAGATCATCATTCCTTGTTTTATAGCAAAACATTAAAAGGAGAGAGGAGTAAGCCAGAAAATTATGTAAATGTTTGATGAACCCCCAAGCCCCAATTAAGGGAGGTGGTATACCTTATGGATATAGAATTAAGTGGTGGGACTTGACTTGGTATGTTAAAATGTAATTAGCATATCATTCTTTTTCTGCAAAAAGACTATAAACTGAGGTAGATGGCCAGCCTTTGGCATAGCAGAGGAAGCCCCCCTAATCTTTATCACCCAAAACTTACCTAGGGAGGGGGATGCCATGCTCAAAGGACTCTACCGATTTAGTCTGTGGGTAGTCATACCCATATGGGCCCCTGAGTTCATTATGGCCAGTTGTACATCAAAAGAACCTGTCTGCCTTGGCCTTGTAATTGCCTCTTGAGTTGAATAGGCAGACGGGTACGGAATGACAGATCCTCAAGTAGTTGTGACTTATCCAAGGTTGCAGGGCAGGTCTAGGACTAGGACCTGCCTCTTCTCACTACATGACCCCTTCAGAGTTTCCCACAGGCCAATGGGTCAAGGCCCTGTCAAATGTTAAAAAGGTTTTAATTCTCAATAAGAATACTATTTTGTTCACATTGAGACACAAAAACCAGCCAGGAAATAGTGCTTTTTTCAGGGGACAGTGCTTCCTTGAGAGTTTTAACCCTTTGCACTCCGCTGTCCCCTCTCAGGGGACATTGCAGTTTACTAGTGATTACGGGGAATTGAGTTAATTCAACGCACATTTCCGCCGCAAAGTAGCGTCGAGTAGCTGGTAGCCAATGTCCAGAATGGTTTGGAGTGCAAAGGGTTAAGTATGTTCTGTACCCTTTACTTATCCCTTCCCCCTCCCCTCACACCCCTAGTACTATTTCCCTCTGCTCCCCCTCTTTCTGTAAGGTGGTGCTGGTGGGACTGCCCTAGGTTTTAGCCCTATTGAAAACGGCGATCAAAGACGATAATCCCTTGCTGGGTAAAACTGGATTGATGGGATGGGGTTTCACATGCTGGGGGGGGGGGGGCGGGGCATGCACAATGTAGGAACTCGATGATGAATAGATGGGTGCAATACATTTCAGTTCAAACTTCCCAGCGAGGCGAAAAACTCCGAGTGGACCTATCAGAAGGCAGCTTCTATGAGGAAGGGACATGCCCATGAGGTGCTCAATAATATTGGATGAATATGATTTTGAGGAATAGCCATTTGGTGGTGAATGAATGATGCATTAAGTCATGAGTGTCAGTAAGCCATGAACCACAACTTGGTCCAGCTCTTCAGTCTTCCAATCTGTGCTAATATGACTGGTCCTTTGTGGAGAGGGATAATGAGCCCGAAGCTGGGACTCCACGGCTGAACGCCGGTGGGCGGGGCCTGAGCTGCGCACGCAATCGCCTCCAGCGGCGGGTCAGGTGACTGCTTTACCTTGGCAACGACTTGTTGCTAGCAACCGGCGGCGGTCCAGCGTTGGTCCTGGGCCGAGCAGCCTGGTGGAGGCACCCGCCATGAATCCGCCTGTACCCCTGGGGATCTTGGAGGATAAGGAGGATGAACACTTAGCCACTCAGGTTCTCGGGCCCTCGATCAATTCGGATAATCCTCAGGAGCGGATCCAGGCCCGGCGCCTCCGCATCGCAGCGCGCCTGGAGGCCCGGAGACGGTGAGCAGGGGCTGGGCGGGCCGAGGCAATGGGGATGGGGATGGGGCGCTAGGTGTGTGGTGCTGCCAGGGCAGGAGCCCCCTGCAGTGAGGGGCAGGAGTGCTCCAAAGGATAAGAGGGCCTTTAAAAAAAATTTTTTTTAATGTATTTATTGATTTTAAAGAGAGGGAGAGGAAGGAAGGGAGAACATCTCTTTTTCCAACTACTCATGCATTCATTGATGAATATTTTTTTGTGTCTTGACCAGGGACCAAACCGACAACCTTGGCATACATAAGCTGAACATATTTTAACCAACTGAGCTACCCGGCCAGGGCAGAGGGCCTTGTTTCTTGATAGAAAACTTTCATTCCAGAAAGTTCAAGTAAAGTGTGGGATATTAAAACATTGAACACATTAATAAAGTTAAAAAACAGAAATAACAGTCCTTTCAATGCTTTCACTGGGAGCCAGGTGCAGCCCGCACTGTGGCCAATACACTGACATGCAGGCCATCGGGACCTGCCCTCGGGGTCTGTCTCCCCTTCGCTCCCAGCCTGCCCGCCTTCCCCAAGTACGGATCCGGTGGACCTCAGCTCCCACTTCTGCTGCTCTCAGCGCCTCAACTGCTGTGTGACCACGCTCATTCCTGAAGTGTCTGAGCCGGAGAGCCTTGTTCCTTCCAGGCCAGGGTTGCCACACCCATCCATTCACAGGCACCGTGGACTGTCCTAGAGGGTAGAAGCAGAGGCACCTGCAGTCCCTGAATTTCTGAGCTCCCTCCCTCCCTCCCTGTGTAACAGCATCGCACCTTGTCCTGCTGGTCAGGGTCAGCTGCCCAAGTAAGATGATGACTTCCCTATTGTTTGCTGGCCATGGGACACAAGTGGCCCAGCATTGTGTGGCTGCGTTCTAACAAAACTTTAGTGACTGGGCACTGAAAAGTGAATCTCACAGAATGTTTGTGTCCCCCAAATTTCCTTTCTATTTGATCCTTCTCCCCCTAAATGAATAAACTTTGTTTCTTCTAGAGCAGTTTTTGGGTTACAGAAAAATCAACTGGAAGATACAGAGTATTCTCATATACCTTGTGCCCCACACACATGCATAACTCCTCCCACTATCACATCCCCCGCCAGAGTGGTATCTTGGTTACAATCGATGAACCTCATTGACACGTCATTGTCAGCCAAAGTCCGTACTTTCCACTGTGATTCACTCTTGCTGTTCTGCGCATTTTGACAACTAAATAATGACAAGGATCCACTAGTACAGTATTGTACAGAATGGTTTCAATGTATTCTGCCTATTCACCCTCAACTTTCTTTAAAAAAAAAAAAACACTCTTAAAAATGTGAAAATTATTCTTCACTTGTGAGCCATACAGAAACAGGTGGGTCAGATGTGTATCATAGGCCATAGTGTGCCAACGCTGATTAGACGAATCACTGTGATATTCTGTGGGATATCTGGATGGTTCTGGCCTATTCGGACAGAGATCAGGAGAATTAGCATTGCCCTGTGACTATGGATAGGTATTGCCAACCTTCTAAAACCTTCCTAGTCTGATAGGAGAATAATGATACCTCACAGCGTTTTCATTTTCATTTCTCTGCTTATATGTGAAGTGGAACCTATTTTTAACTGTCTGTTTGCCATTTGTATTTCTTCCGTGAATTGCCTCTTCACATTCTTTGCCAATTTTTCAATTTGGTATATTGTCTTTTTTTTTTTTTTTTTTAATATTGATTTGAAGGAGGCTTTTCTATTTTATGGAGAACAAGGTCTTTTCAAATATCTTTTACCAGTTTATCCTTTGACTTTCAAGGATAAAATAAAAAAAAAACTGGGAAGTAAAATCAACTTTTTTTTTCTCTCTTCTAACTTTGGCTTTATTCGCTCTCCTTTATATACTTAAAGGGTTTTATGATTTTTTTTAATATCTAAATTATTAACCACATGGAAAGTATTTTTGTATATGGTATGAATTCCCATGAAACCTTGGCATATAGAACTTAAATACTAGAAATAACTTTGGTTTCTCTATTCTTTTCCATCACAGGGAAGCGCTTGGAGACTATTTAGATGGGAAGAAGGAGAGTGAGGAAGATCAAAGCAAGAGTTATAAACAGAAAGAAGAAAGCAGACTGGTATGAACTGGGTAGCAAATGGGTCCTGACGGACCTGTGAGACTAGATAGCTAGGTGTGATGTCCCGGTTTTTGTATTTAGTTACTTTAATTAATTAATTAATTTATTTATTTAATCCTCACTGAGGATATTTTTCCATTGATTTTCAGAGAGAGGGGAAAGACAGATAGAAACATCAGTGTGAGAGAGAGACATTGATTGGTTGCCTCCTGCATGCACTCCGACCAGAGCCCTGGCCAGGGAAGGAGCCTGCAATCAAGGTATTGTACATGCCCTTGACCGGAATTGAATCCAGGACCCTTTGGTCCGCAGGCCGATGTTCTATTCACTGAGCAAAACCAGCTAGAGCGTCTTTGTATTTAGACTAGAAGAAACTCAGTAGGGATGAAATCTCAGTAGAGATCTATTTCCTGTCTCTAGACAGAACTGAATCTGAAACTTTCCCATTTGGAAGCTCTCTAGGAGTGAGCTTTCATATTAAAGTTTCTTGAGTTGATGCGGCCTCTTGTTGATTCATACACTTTTATGGCATTCACTATACATAGGACTAAGTCCAAGTACTTTGAACTGACATTCAAGAGCTCGTGTCGTCTGTTCCCATCTTCACTTTGCAATCTTCTCTGCCATCGTTACCTAATTGGGCCTTCCACCTTGGCGAGGCCGACCCACTTGCTTACCTACCTCCAGTGGCTTCGTCCTTTCTGCTCTGTGCCTTTGACCATCTGGAATGCCAAGCTCCTCCTTTTCTTCCCTCTCCTCTCCTTTTCTTCCCTCTTCTTCTCTCCCTTTTCTCCCCTCCTGGCTCCAGTTTACCTTCCCAGACTTTCAGACCATCCAAGTCCCAGCCCTTCCATGAGTTCCTTTGCAAGCCAGGCTGACCTTCTTTAATTCATTTCATTTTGGATCGTTTTCTGCCCTGTGTGACTTTTCAAATCACTGCGTGTGCATGTAGTGTCTGCAGTAAAATTGCACACTCTAGCCCAGCTGGCTCAGTGGTTGAGCTGTGACCTATGAACCAGGAAGTCACAGCTCCATCCCAGGTCAGGGCACTTGCCCGGGTTGTGGGCTCGATCCCTAGGGTGGGGTGTGAAGGAGGCAGCTGACCAATGATTC